CCCGTCTCAAAGTGGGCCAATAAAACCTATCCTCAACAAGTGCAAATGTCTTATCCCTATCAAAATGGCTTGCCAGACCTCTCGCATGTAATTCCCAAATCAGAAAATCCCTAAGTGAAGTACGGGGAATATATAAGCGTGATCCTCTAAACAAATAACCATCTCTAAGGAGGAAGTCAATGTACTCATGACGGTTACCAGCTTGAACATCTTGAAAAATGATATTAAAGTCAGGACAAGAGGCATACTCATCTCTAATTCTATCAAGGTTGATCACATGGACACTCATAGTCTATAAAACAGCAGTTACATAACTAAGAGCATCCGCAGACTTGTTTTCAATGCCCGCTCGGTGGTGAAAAATAAAAGTATACTCTTGAAGGAACTCAACCCACCTAATGTGCCTAACACCCAATTTTCTCTGGGAATGAAGGTATTTCAATGCTTAATGATCAAAATATAACACAAACTCAAATGGCAATAGATAATACCTCCAATGGCGAAGAATTTGTACCACAACGTAGAACTCTTTGTCATATGTAGAGTATCGTTATTTAGCTTTATTGAGCTTTTCGCTGAAGTAAGCAATAGGATGACCCTCTTGACTCAAAACTCCACTTATCCCTGCACCAGATGCCTCATAGAAAACCTCAAATACCTTAGAAAAATCTGGGTGTCGAAAGATGGCTACCTCTGTCATCCTGTGATTTAACTTTTTGAAAGGCTCTAGTTGTAGCAAAAGTCCATTGAAACTCCTATTTTTTCATGCACTCTATAATGGGAGCCATAATGGAACTAAACCCCTTAATAAAACGTCTATAGAAGGTGGCCAAGAAAAAGCACTTGAGATTACATAAAGGAGCACTTCTTAAGGTTTGCATATAATTTTTTCACACGTAATGTTTGAAAAACCTGTCAAAGATAATCCAAGTGTTCTTCTTTAGACCAATTGTAGATCAAGATGTCATCAAAATAGACCACCACAAATTTTCCTAGGAAAGGACGCAATATCTGAGTCATAACCCTCATAAATGTGCTAGGTACATTAGACAATCCAAAAGACATGGCCAACCACTCATAAAGTCCATCCTGGTTTTTAAAGGCAATTTTCCATTCATCTCCAGGTCTAATTCGGATTTGATGATAACCACTACACAAATCCATTTTGAAGAACCAAAGTGCCCTGGCCAAAAAGTCAAGCATATCTTCAAGTCTCGGTGTAGGAAATCGTACTTGACTGTAATTTTTTTAATAGCACGGCTATCAACACACATTCTCTAAGAGTCATCTTTCTTAGGGATTAATAAAGCAAGGACAACACATGGACTAAGACTATGACGAACAAACCAATTTTGCAAAAGTCCATCTACTTGCCTTTGGAGTTCAGCACGCTCAGTGGGATTCATACGATAATGGGGAAGATTAGGCAACTGAGATCCTGAAACTAAGTCAATAGCATGTTGAACATCTGTCATTGGCGGCAGCTCATTGGGTAGTTCTTCAGGGATCACATCGTGGCACTCTTTCAATAGACTATCAACCTCAAGCAAAAGATCATCCTTAGATTCTAAAGGACTCTGAAAAACTTCTTTGACAATTAGAGCTACCACTACACCAGACATTTTTCTCTCTTTTTCAAATTCCATATGGGTCAGGATGTGAAGGTCTTTCTTGTGAATTATTTGGGAAGATGACCTATGCTTTGTATAATTACCTTCTGAGGGTTTTGCAGGTTTTAACTTAATAGTTTTCCCCTTATGCTAAAAAACATAGGTATTTTCCCTCCCATAGTTTGTCACATCTAAATCAAAAGGCCATGGGCGACCTAACAAGACATGAGCGACATCCATGGATAAGACATCACATCATATATGATCTGAATAGTCACCCATCTGAATAGGGACCAAACATCTTTGTGAGACTGGTAAGGAGGTCTTGTCAACCCATGCAACCTTGTAAGATTATGGGTGTGTCTCTAGCTTAAGCTGCAACTGAGCTACAGTCGACTTAGAAATGACATTCAATGAACTTTCTCCATCAATGAAGACCTTGCAAACTTGACCCCCATATCGGACTAGAGTATGAAAAATACTGGTGCGTTTCCATGCTTCCGTAGTCGAAGGAGTGGATAAGATGCATCGCATCACACTGGCACGGGTGTCATCATTCTACCAGTCTTCCTCACCTTCATCTAGTAACTTTAGGGGTTTCTCATCTAAAGGATCTACTTCTTGGTCAACATCCTCTCCGTCAAGTGAATTCTCTAAACCTTGGTCAATGGTCAAGGTACGCTGAGGGCACTGTAAAGCAATATGACCCTTGCCATGATAACGGTGACACTCTATGGAAGAACTGTCTTGGCGAGAACCCATGAGTGTAGAATCTCGACCCCTAGTGGTATTACCTCTCAAGTTAGGGTAAGTGTTACCCTTGGATGTGACAGGCCCTGCCTGGGTGACGCCTCGGGACTTATCAAATGGGACTGACCTTAATGGTTGAGATTCTCGGATTTGAGAAGGCATGCGAGGCTAAAAGGGTGGCCTAAGATATTGTTCAATCTCTAAGGCTTTATAATATGCTTCCTCAACTGTTTCAAGAAAGTATAAGTTAAGCTCTCTCTTAATCTCAGATCTCAAACCATTAATAAATTTTGTAACTGTTACCCAAGGCTCTTCCTTTATGTCACATCTCGGAAAGAGCTCTTCAAATCGAGCTAGGTAATCAATCACACTCGAGGTCAATTGACGCAAGTTCATCCACTTGTCCAAGAGTTTGCGCTTATAGTAACTAGGGAGATATTTATCTTGCAATCTTTGTTTCATCTCAGCCCATAAAGTAATGGGTTGTCCCTCTAAGTGCTCTTAGTCTCGTTGGACTCCTTGCCAATATCTCTTAGCCGAACCAACGAGTTTCATTTTGGCAAAACGAACCCGATGATTGTCAGACATATCATACCAATCAAAATAGTCATCTATTTCATTCAACCAATCTAAGAAAACAACAGGATCTAACCTACCATCAAAACTAGGAGTGTCCACTTTGACTCTTTGTGTGAAATCCCTAGATTCTTCATGGACATGCCTATGTCGAGGATTATGGTAACGCGGAGGGGGAGACCTATGGTATCTGACACGTCGTCGGAAGAGCTCACGATAACCATCCATATCACCCTTTACTGAATAGTCAAACATGACTACCTCAGCGGGATTCTCCTGAAAATTCTTACAACCTATGTTTCATCCAAAAGTGGTATTAGGAGGTGGCCTTCTATCTGGACACTGAACTCGGCTACCCTAAGCTACCTACAGAGTGGGTAGAATACCTTGACATGAGTCAGTAGGATCTATCAAGAGAGACAATGCCTAACATAGTGTGTCTATCTGAACTTAGGTAAAATTGGTGACTCACCCTGGTCATACTCTATTGGTCGTTTTTCCATAAACTTAGTCAATTGGGCTAGTTGAGTAATAACTTGAGAAAGTTGTTGCCCCATTCCTTTAACTTCCTCACGTAACAAGTCGACTGACTATTTAGTGTCAGTCATATCAACGATGAGGGTCTCAAATTTTTGTTCCAGTGCAGTATGGGACTCCGAAAGCTCTCGAAGGGTCATAGTGAATGTGATGTAAAATTTGGGCTAATGTAAAATGCCGACTAGACTAAAAATTAAACCAAGTAATAAAAACTATAAATACAAATGATCACACACAAGAACAAGCTTATTGTGAAGAGACTCAAATAAACATGAGACAAGCAACAATGGATTTTAACACGGAATTGGGCAAGCTAAGTTATGAAGGTGGTGTGTAGGAACAACAAACAAAGAAAGTTATGAAAGTGTGTGGGAACAACAAACAAAGAAAATTTAGTTTTTTTTTTGTTGACTTACCAACAAATATAAATACTGGTCACCAATTCTCAACGAAGAGAACTCGTACCTGGTGTTAGATACAACTCCAAGAGGATACTTGACGAGTTAGAGGATGATCCTATAAATTCTGAAACTTTCTGGGGTGTTTCTATAATTACTGGAACTTCCGGGGTGATATTTCTATAATTCTAGAATTTAATGAGGATGCTTTTGTAATAATGAACAGTCGCGATGAACGAAGAACAATAACGATTTTTTTTTTTCTGCTGCACATACCTTCGATTTTTGGATTTTTTTTTTTAAATGGATAGTGCCGATGAACAGTACCGCGATGAAGTGTTTTTTTTCCCGATGAACAGTGTTGTGCATTTTTTTTTTTTGTGATTTGTACGAATCGAAGTTGGACTCTAATACCAAATTGATGTAGATCGTGGTAGAGAAAAATTAAGGATGAAAAAGGAAGAAGGAAGAAGGAAGAGGATGAGAAAAGAAAGAGAATTTGAGGAAGAAGATTTAATATCAGTAATCAATAATAATCAAAGTATCCCACAACAAATATGTATCTCCTACATATATAAGGATTTAACAAATCCTATATATATAAGGAGATCACAAACCCTAAAATAAATAAATAATCAAAATGACAACTAAGTCCCTGAAAAATAAAATGACAAATAACTCTTAATCTCTACGTCTACGCCTAGTATAACGAAATATAATCTGATTCCTATAAAAAATACTTAAAAGATAAATATTAAAAATATCAAAATTACTCTCATGATTAATCTAAAATATCTATCCAATTCCTATACGATCCCCATCAATCCACTTTGCTTCGGTGATTATCTATGAAACATGGATACTTCGTTAAGGTCGACGTATCTGTATCGGATATGATACTCGTCTGATACTCAATAATACATATCAAATACACACCAAACATATCAAAAAAATAAATACAACATGAATACTACGCAGATTCTTCTATATGCAAAAAATTGTGTGTAATTTTTAATTTTAATTTTTACCCCATCCTTTTGATTTCACATATGTAATACATTAACAAAAATCCATATGACTTTGAAAACAATACACATGCAAGATGAAAGTCAGCCAAAGCCAAGCCACATCAGGCAAAATACAAGCAAATAGTTTCTGGTCTCACCTTGGCATTAGTTAGTGTGGTTGCAGGAAATGCAGTCTGACATTTTTTCACATCATCTTCAGAAGAACAATCTGAACAGATAAAGTGGTCCAATTGCTTCGCTTGTTCAATTGTCATGCCCACACAAGCAGGATGATACCTACAAGGACCAGGGTAGACCACATCTTATAGATCAAAAGTCATATACACAAGTTCATCAACAATTTGTATAATTTTAGGCGCATGTGGACACTTCAAAGCTAAAGCAGCATTGACGGTGACAGCATATAAGAAAGAAACTATATGAATCCACATACAGGCATACGATACCAAATACAAAAGAAGAGACAAGAAGACGAGTTCAAGTACCAAGCAAGAAACCCATTATCTACTATACTTCCTGATAGATTTTTTTGATCACAAATTTTCTCTTGATATCGATTTGTTGCTCATAGAGAAGCTTACCTTAAAAAATCAAACAGCCACATTTCAAAGAGCTTTGAGGTCTTTTAAGTCCATCCATAATTAAATTTCAGAAGCGCATATACTGGATTTTGTAGCTCTATTATTATAAGATCTTATGCTTTGCAATAGCATATATATTGGACAGTTTTAAATTTTCATTCAAAGCTTCTTAAGAGATTTAATATAACAAGCAACATAAGAGATGCACCCAAAACAGTATTTGACAATCGGAAACACAACACAGATAAACGAATAATATACCAGTCCTTGCACCTATCACACTGCACCATCAAATCATCTGGGTTATACGGCATTTCGCATTTGCAGTACCTTCAAAACAAAACCATGAAAAAGTTCAGCAACCAACAATTACAATCACTCAAATTCAGTTAAGCAAATCACTCAATACTCACACTGCAACGCGGTCTGGAGTGAACCCTCCAGTGGCAGCCTTGTACTCAAATCGACAATAGTAGTCCTCCGACGAGACATTCTCAAGCCTCGTATAGTTCTTGAATGAGTGAACGACACACTTGCCTTCAATGGTGTGAGCACTCTGGACATCATAGTGGTCGGACAAGAACAGTTCCTTTGTTCCATGAAACTGTCTCCGCCCTCCCATAGACTCCTCAGGCCTATAGTACCATCTCACTCTTACCTTCACATTGTTCCGATTATCTGCTTCAATCTTCTCAATACGTGCCACGTATGGGGCTGTATCCATGTCCGCTGATTTCATCAACACACAATCCCCAGCTTCAAAACCAACAATAGAATGAAAAAAAAATGGAATCTCTCAGTGATGTATATGTCAGCTATATTGTATGGTAGTCTGTGGGACTAGAAGTGTCCTATGGTTGCATCAGAACAAAATCTCCACCATTAGAACCTTTACAAACTATCAAAAACCGTTCTCGATCACTCAAAATGTGCATACATGGAGATGTATGTACATATGTATGTGTAGGATCGTCCCAACAACATCTGATGATTAAATGAACGGACAACCCGCAGATTTGAAACCACATCATATATCAATCATGCTACTTAGACACATAGACATACTAGGTACCTAGGACATGTGGTTGTATGAGCAAGAAATGCCCAACTCTTAACCCTCCACAAACAATCAAAAACAGCACTTTTCGTTTATGGGTATCTAAAGTGCTGTAGCTGGGCATTTCTTGTTCATACAACCACATGTCCTAGATACCTAGTATATCAAAACCAACATTTAATCACTCAAAATGTGAATACACAAAGACCTAAACACCAACACACACATATATTAATAAATGCATGTACGCACTGGGTCGTAGCAGTCCCCCATTGGTATTGCCAATGGGCAAACCCCATCTTCAACACCGCATTAACACAATCAAAAACAACATTTCATCACCCAAAATGCGTATATACCATATCATAACCCAGAACGAAAAAAAAAATGTGTATTGGTGTACAGGTTACCTCTAACGACCTTGTTAGTCCCTCTGATGGTGTAAGAATCTAAGTCTCGTTTGCCAGGTCTGGTCTTGGCCATGGAAATTAGAGGGGTCTTCTGGCCCAAAGATTGAGCTTTCCTTGAAGGAGAAATGTAGTGTATATGTATAGTTTTGGGGTTTGTATATCAACTGAATCGAAGGCCAAAGTGCATTCTTAAATATTGTTCGGTGGTATTCGAGGCTTGTCCATTGATTGACTTGAGTGAAAATGGTAGTGGTTTATAAACCCTGGATTTAGGGGATAAAACAGAAACCCTAACTTTTATAGTTTGTACTTTTTTATTCTTGGAATGGAAGAATACCATTTTTGGAAAAGGGGACCATTTTCATTCATTTTAATTCTACTTACCTCTTTCTTCTTCGACCCGATAATAAAGCGATAATTATTAGCTCAACCACAAATCTTGTATTGTTCGCCTCTAAACTAACAAAACAATTGGGAGATCAAAGAACCATTAATGCTAGCATAAATTAATAGGGCTTCGACTATTGTACAAAAAAATATTTTTTTTTTATTCCGTACCTTTATTTTTAGTTAATAAAAAGGTGGCACATGTTTGATAATCATTTTATTTATTTATTATTTTTTTTTTGTTTAACTTCGTTACTTTTTCAATCAATAATTAAAAACATTTAAATCAAAATTTATGACCCGTTGAATATACATGAATGTCGATATAACACCGAATTGTTAAGATAGCTCTTTTTGGGTAAGTAATGAACAAAGAGAGTTGAACTTTGGTACCACCATGCAATGTTTTTGTTTCTTTTTTTTTTTTTTTTTGTTTTGGACAGATTTTTTCTTGGGTATTATGGTCAGGGTGTCTAGACCAGCTTATATACAAATTGATTAATTTTCTCTCCAGTCCGATTAAAGACGTATCATCCATACCAAAACTAGGTCATACTAACCTCAAAAAAATTGACACATTTTAAACTTAAAATGTCTGAATTTACAGATCATCACTGTCTCTACTAAACTACCCTTAAATTTAGAATTGTGTGCAGTTAGGCATTTAGCAGTTCAATTGAAATGGTTGGCTTAAAGTCGATGGCAAATACAACTGTAAATTCACACCACTCTAATTCATCTACATGGTAGTCCATCAACAACAGCAATTGAAAGATGCTTTTTCATATTTGGTAAGAAAAAACAATCAGTCTTGCAATGGATGGGGCAAGCATCAACCCCTAATTATTGGATTGGATTCAATTCATCATGTGCCCAAAAAGGAATGTAGTGATGTCGGATTATATTTGGATTCATTGATTGCAATGAAAATTTTCAATCTACTGGAAATTACGTGCATTGGTTACACCTAAATTTTATGCAGTAAACAAAACTCAAAACTCAAACATTGCGAGCTTACGTCTCATACTTTATTCGACTATTGAATTGAATCAATTCATGCTGGTTGGTATCATACAAGTATCATTTTGAAGATTTTTTAAACTTTGTAGTAGGCAAAGCAAAAGCCAAAACAATATCCATCCTAACTTGGTATGGGTTAGGTATAGTGATTATAGACTTAATTCGTGTATCGGATATGAAATTAATATACAATTAACAGATTTAAGTTATAAATAAATTAACACGAATATAACTAAACACGACACAAGTCTGCTAAAAACAACTTATACACGGTAAGATAAATGAATGAATCTAAATATAAACCTACTATACATAATTATAAATGAATCTAATATAAATAAAATAAAATTTAAACAATATGAACTAGACATCATCCATCTGCACACCCAGAGGTATTCAGTGGTATGTGCCACCAACACAAGTCATGTGCGACAAACAAGATGGCTATAGCCCAGAAGAAGCTGTGTCGCACGGCGTTGCAACGTTAGAAATGGACCAACTGGTGACCCAATGACCAAAAAGCCGTGGCATATTTTTTTTTTTTTTTTGGGTTCAAGATGAAGTGAATCCGAACCAACGCATGCGTTAACTAACCCTCTCTTCGGTCTGATCTAAAATAGGTCATTTATGCTAAAATTAGAATATTCATGAAAAATATACCCAAAAAAATTATCAAGATAAATCTGATCTCAGAACTTTTAAATTTATAATTTGTTTTTATTATCATCAAACAACAGCATTTTTTTGGAAATAAAATATATTTACCCACCGGGAAAAAAATAAAATAACTGCAAGTAATCCCATCTAGAAATAAAGATAAATATTAAATAGATGGTTTAAATAATCGCAGCATCAACTGTATAGGTTAAAATTATCAAATAGCCACTACATGCATGTGTGTAATATATGCAACTGTTCTTCGGAGTAACGCAAGATCACGAGGGCACCATCTTCCAAATAAGTGCACCCGCCAACCTAGTCAAGTAAACGAATTAACTCAGAAAATTGTTAAACACGACTGACTAATGCACAACACAAACCTGACTGTACATGACTATAAATAAATCAACTGTTCATCAAGAACATAGACCCCATATGACCAGATAACCTTACTCCCGTGCCTCTTAAGAATTCATGCCGGGGGTGTAGCTTTACAGTTTCAGCTCCACACAAATACATAACTCATGCACAGTACAATAAAGGGCAGCACATCCCATCTTAAAATAAGATAATAATACATTAAATAGGGTTGTTACATTAAATAGATTGTTTAGATAAACGCACAAAGTGTCAAGATCAAATATCAAATAGCTACTACACGCAAATGGGTAGTAGTATGCAACTACCCTTTGATACTAAACGATAGGAGTTCATGGAGCTAAGTGAACAACATGCGATCATGGTGGTACCATCATCAAAGAAGTGTGGGCGAGATGTCCATCGGGTAAGGGTTGCCAAGAACGTTGTCCATGTAGTAGTGGGGGTGAGCAGCATCCATCACCACAAACTGCACATCTTCTGAAGGCTTCCAGTGCCTTTTCCTTTGGTTAATGAACCAGTTGTTTATTTGCTTCTGATCCAGACCTGTTGATTCAGCAAGAGCCAGCTTCTGTGATTCCTGTTCAACAAACGAAATGCAGTTTTCACTTGTCAAGGTGATTGCTCAACCGTAAATTGACTATCTTGGGTGGAGCTGAATTAGGTTTAATATTTTAATTTAATTGAAGAAATAACTGGAAAATAAAACAAGAACAAAAAAATAGATAAAGGCATAATAATTCCAAGTCAAGCCTAGATCGATTCAATCGAATAATTTGGATTATGTTGGTCGTTGGATGAACTGCCTTGCTAATATTGATCCCCCCCCCCCAACCCAAAAAAAAAAAAAACGGTATGTACATCTACATCATGTACAGCCAACCATCACACTTTAGTAATGGATAGGTTCGACCTATGGTCATTTTGGGGCCTCTTAAAAAGATTTATTAAATTCATGCATGGCACAAGTTGAAATGGCCATAACCTTCACTGTGCATGGCAACAAGCAGGACAAAGGCCTAGAAGAGGAGGGAATAAGACCAAAAATTAGTGATGAAACTGAGGGTGGCCGGAAATTTGCTTTTAACATTAATACGAATGATATGGATACGAACCGATGGGTATGGCCATTTGTAATGTCTGCTCCACCATTCCAGCAACTGTTGCCTAGCTTCTTTAGGCAGCTTACCTTTCTTTCTCTTCTTCATGAACTCCTGCTTAAGACTGCCTAAATATCCACTGTACTTGCGCAAAAGCTGACCTTTAAGTTCCCTGTCTTCTGCTTGAGGGTCTATGAAGTTGTTATTCACATCAACCTCCTCTTCAGATGATCCATTTCTATCCATAGCCTCACCACAAGCTGATAACAGCATAAACACATGTGCACCAATAAATGGACATAAATCATTTTACATAGTTATTAGGTCTCATGCAGTTGTAACCCCCCACTGCAGTTCTCAAACTGCAACACCCATTTGTCCTCTCCTTAAAGGATAAAAATATATATGTAGATAATCAAGTATTATGCACATATGTATCTTAAGAATTAGAACTTACTCATCATAATAACAACAGCAATACCAAACTTCCTTAACATTTCTTCAATCCATACCATAAATGTAACACTCACCCTAAGTAACTGCACGCTTGGATGTAACTTTCACAAAAAAAAAATACCAAAACAATTAAAGGTTTTCATGTCATTCTCAAGCTTAAAGTAACTATACACATCTAAATGGGTAGGGTACACAAAAGGTGAAAAGGTACTAATCATCATTTCATCAGAGATCAATAAGCTCTAGAGAAGGCTTGCTTCACCACAAATTCACTAAAAAAACTCTTTGAGAAGGAAAAACATGTTCCCAATGTGATCAAGATAGTGAAGTCAATTTTTCCATTAATAAACATATTGCAAGCTCCAAAGATAATGAATGATTTTATCAACATGAAAGGGAACTCTATGAAATAAATAACCCACATTAAGGAGTAGGTCATGTAATATATAAGTTGAAATTTCAAATGCACACTACCCATCTTGAGATTCACTACTATATCCAATGTCAATTTGGTCAAAAAGCAAGCACTAATACATTTCGTTTATCTCCAAAATATGGTCAGTATGTTGAATAACTTCACCAACTCCCACCATCATCTTGTATCACTCAACCTTTGATTTTTTCATGTATCTCTCATTCATACGAGTGCTATCAAAACAATCAAATATTGAAGAACCTATTAAGAGCCATATTCATTACCATGACTCCGATTATATCTCTTATTGTACTTCCAGACAAAATGAAGTCCCCATGGGATCAAACAACCACACATCAGGGCTTGTATAATCACAATGCTTCTCCTATGGCCATGGTACTTGGCCTTTTTTGTCTGGATATTAGTAGTTGAATTTATTGACTACTACAATTCTGAAGTTTTTCAAGTAGTAAAAGAAATTGAATGACTATTTTATCCCCAGTATAACCTCTTTTTATGCACCATATTGCTAAAAGAGAGTGGCCTAGTGACAAGAATTAGAATGTGGCAGGAGAATTGCATACACACAGCTTATCCTCCGATGTAGGTTTAACTGATGTTTGCACTTGAAGAATGTGACGTTTTGTTTCTGCAGCCTAAAAGTCTGATGTGCACAAAGCCTGTTTAATGCCTCATAGAGGCTCTTTCTAGACCTACGGATACCCTTTCTCCAGACCCAACAAAGAATAGACAGATATAATAATTTAATCCATATGGGTCTACCAAAATTAGAGGTCCACATTAAGCTTATTCGGGTCTTCTTTGTAGGCATGATAGATTTCTTTAGCCTGTTGACCAACCATAGAACATATCTGCCAACTGCAATCAGGAAGTCTTCTTGCCCATTAACTATTAACTTGTCACGTAACATAAAAATTCTACACCATATCCACAATTCGGAATGTGGGAATTACCATCCTGATGGTCAACAATTGATTCGACAGTGCCACATTAAGAGAATTTATTTTCAGACACCATTAAAAGGTTCAGAACAGCCCAACTGCTTAAGCTTCTTAATTGATCTTTGACAGGTAAAGCACTCAAAATGTATTTGCTGTCATATTGATAGTATTTGCAGTAACAAATAAACCTTTTATGACAGCACTACCATCATAAAAGAACTTTTTTTCTTAAAACACTTTTTGTGACTATCACAGCTGCTGCAAAAAATTTGTCTCCAAAGACCCTAATTCTTGTAATGAGGAGCATAGGGGAATTTGTCTACATATATTCAAACTCAATATCTTACCAATTGTAACTTACCAAATGAATCCCCCTCCCCCCTCCTCTCCTTCTCTCAGTTTTAGAATTGCAGGAGTGTCTACATATGTAGCAGTATTTGCTTGTACATAAGGCACTCACAAAATGTAGAACGAATAACCATTCAAATCCTGCATCACGGTTAAGATTTTATCGCCACCACCCTCTTGTCTGCCCTCCCACCCTTTGAAAACAGATTAGTACCTGCACCTAGTGAAACCTTAGATCATAAGACGATCACAAACCTACAGTTATTTTGTAAGTTTGGACCATGAGGCGTGTACTTCACAATTTATACAGTTGGGTTCAAAGAAAACTGGGAAAACAATATTCACAAGTTATCATCATCCAGCATAAACTAGGCCAAAAGCCTAAACACATCAAACTGTCTGGTAAGAAGCCCTCTCCTAAATAAATTCTACCCAGAAACTTTCAACCCATAAATATTGTGATCTACAGCTATTGATGTAATTAGTTCCAATTAGAATTTTTTTTATAACTGTCTACAATTAACCCCAAAAATGGTAGTATTTTCACAGCCACACTACTAAGTGCAAACAAAAAGGATAAAATGAAAAGACTTCTTTTGACACCAAAGTTGGAACAGCACATGAATGTAGAGAAACCAAAGAAGCAAACTTCTAGACAAAAATCTAGAGAATGTCAGAGCAAGGAACATCCCCTACATATCGAAACAATAAAGCTCAGATTCATAACGTAATCCTTCCAAAAACAGTTTTACACACAGAATAAGCAAACAAATGATTAAGAAAACAGAACTAAAATACTATAAAACAGGTCTACACTATTATAAAGGAAGCTCTAGGGAAAGGTTAATTAATCACAGTTTATGTCCTTGGAAACAAACACATATATGCCTACTTGTTTTACTATGAAAAAAAAACCCTTAAAACAACAAACAAACAAAAGCAGTTAGGAGCTGAGGAGAATTTATGTCAATTTATGGAGAAGAAAAAAAGATCACCACCAGAATCTGAAGAAGCTACTGTGAGGGCTTTGAACTGGCACTCGATTCTTGAGAGAAAAAGCATGGCTTCCTTGAAGGGTTTAGAGAGTTCTTGCTCATACTTTGTCAGCATCTCACAGTAAGCCTCCATGAATTGATCAAGCGCTGGGTCTTCACCGACACAACTTGTGCCAGCACGGCCCATCGTCGCCGCAGAAGCGCAGGCGTCCTCCAGTCTTGCCACCACCTCAGGCGGTGCTCCTATCTGTAAATCTAGTTTCTTCTCATCAGCACACAGATAGTGATATATGAGGTACTACAAACTAAGACCGTCACTATCAGAACAAAATATCATGTGGGTCTATATATAAACATATACCCTCATAATCAGATCTAAATAGTTATGTGGAAAGCACGAAAAATTATCAATCTCATATGGGGAAGATGCAGACTTTTGGAACTGAGTTCCTCTCTCTCTCTCTCTCTCTCTCTCTCTCTCTCTCTCACACACACACACACACACACAGACAGAATTAGGTTATGGGTTGTTGGATATTTGATGATTCAGTGAAAAAAAATTTATTCACCTTTTGGCAATTGACATAGGCAGCCAAGAGACGATGGTAGTGAGGATGAGCCATGATCTTGGCCCTGACAGTACAGCTGCCATCGCTGTTGTTGTTGCTATTGTTCTCCATGAAATAACAACCAATGTTTGTGTTGGTGCTGTTGTTGTGGTTGTTATTGGAGTGGTCTTCGAGCATCAGAGAAGAACGACTGCTACTATGGCGGTTTTGTTCTTGATTGCTGCTGGGAGGTAGAGGAAGGAATAGGGTATTGCTGTCTGCATTAGGGTGAGAAGTCATTGGAGGCATCATCATCATAGGACATAGTCCATTACTGTTGTCTCCAAAAGCCATCATACATGAAGTGCTACTGGAACCACCACCCTCCATTCTCTCTCTCTGTCTCTCTCTCCTTTGTTCCCTCAGTTCACCTACAAAACCATAACCCTCTTTCTCTCTCTATATCTTTCTCTTTTAGAATGTTACCTATGCAGAGCCCTCCCGAGATTTATGCTACTGGTTTCAGCCTTTTACAGAAAATCCTAAATAGTTCGTAAGTTGCAGTCAGTAAATGAAGTTTGTTGCTCTTTGGGTGGGTCTGAGAAAGCCTGTTCAGATTTTTCTCTGGAAATGGGTGTTCATCTTTCTGGTCATTAATTCTCTGTCTCTCTCTTTTCCTCTCTATATCTGCCTCTCACTCGTTTTCTACATGAGAGAGAAACTGTGAGAAATTGGAGACAGAAAGAGAGAGGGATTTGCAGAACGCACGCCGTGGTTGCAGAGGTTTGGGAAGTGCAAGAGGGTAGCTTTTGAAGAAGGGATTACCCATGTTTATCTTTGAGCCTTGCGGTGCAAAGCTTTACCTTCCCGATGAAAACTCTCTCCCACTTTTCTTGCACTGCCACTGATACACTGCCATTACTGGCAAACTAGAGAGGGGATTTGGTAGAGAGAGAGATTAACCGAGGAGAGAGAGAGACACACGATCAAATCGAGGTATAGTTTAGTGTAGTAATAGATGAAGGAAGAAAAGGTTTGGTTTTGGGGCACGGAATCACAACTCCTGTAGATGTGTACTGCTAGTGCTGCTAGAGAGCTGTTTGTCCACTCAGTTATTATTCGCCATAGGTTGTCCTCTTCTTTTCTCTCTCCCCCCTCCCTCTCCCTCTCCCTCTCCCACTCCCATTTTCATTTTATTTCTTTTATTGGGCAAAGTAAGAACAACTCCCGTGGTTCCCTCCACGTTTAATCTATATCCCAATTCCAATAACCCATTGCAGATCTCTCGGCACAATTTTGCGGTCTGAGACGTTTTGATTATATTTATCTGTTGTTAAATACTTACCGTTTAAAATTTTTGTATAAAAATTAAAAAAATTATTAAATAGTTATAATATAAATAAAAAATAATTACATAAGATTAAAACACTCTTATTTAATACGTATTGAGAATGAAATGAATATAAAAGACATTTAACATCCACCTAATTTAAAAGACACTTAGTCTCTACTTAATCTAATGCATTAAAAAGTTAAGGATAAATTTAGAAGAAAAAATATTAATTATACTTTAATTTCATTAAACGACAAACATTTAAGAACAGATGAAATATTATACTAAATGAAAGAACTTTTGGAATTTACGTTTTTATTTTAATATATTATCAATAAAATAGTAAATAGATCTTTAATTTTTGATGTAAATGGTAATACTAATCTATATAATAAGATAACTTATAAGTTGAATTTCCTCTTCTACACATTTTTCCTCCCAAAAATATCATAAAACATCACATACTTTTATCGCATGCTTAATTATTTTAATATTTAATTAATTATAATTTAATATATTTTTTATTACACGATAATACATACTTGTTGTGAAAATTTTATCAGATTATATGTTTTGAAAAAAAATTGTAGATATTTTTAAAAAAATAATTGATAAACATAGATTTTAAATGATATAATCAAAGAAATGAAAGAAAAAAAAATATTATTTAATATAGTAGGATAAATTTTTTGAGTGTTCGAATTTTATGTTTCATTGTTCTTTCAAGTGCGGGTTATGACTAGTGTCAAAGTATAGGATCCCAAATCTTTGTTATTTGTTGCAATGCACAAATCTTTATTGGAGACTTATAGTCAATCTAAATATCATAATAAATTAGATCAACAAATTTAGTCGATAAATTATGTTCCAAATGCATTGCTCATATTTTCTTCTTGTAAGAGATCCTCATTGATTACATTAATTATCATAATTAGAGGTGTTAAAATATGACACGATCTATTAAGATGATATAAAATTAGAGAGTTGGGTCTTCTTTAAACTAATCATTTTTAAAATAAGTAGATCAAATATGATATGATTAACAGAAAAATAGGGCATCGATAAAATTATTCAAAAAAATATATACAACACAACTCAATTATATATTTTTTATATATGATTTATATACAATACAAATTTTATAGGATATAATTCGTTAAATATAAATTAATAAATAAATCGAATATAAAAAAGAAATTTTTTATCACAAAATTATTAAAACTAGACATAAACCTGTCTACCTTCCACAAATGAGCATAATCATAATATAGTCAACAAAGGATGGAGCTGGCCACGCAGAAGAAGACTCCAGTTTTTTGAGACATTCGTACACCTTTCTTAGGGAATTATAAAAAACCAATCAAATCAACCCATAAAATGTAATCATGCGAGTAAGATGTTGATGGATCTGCTATCACAATCCATAGAGAAAACAATGCGGAGAAAAGAATCCTTAATCCTACATAGCTGCAAATTTTCCCTTTGACTATTCATCAAAAATATTTTGGAGGTCATAACAATAATATTTGGGAGGTCATAAGCGTTAATCGAGTCAAATTTATTTAATTTTATATTCTCATTTTTATTAGAATAGCAAAAATTTGAGTCAAACTTGGTTATCAAACTTAAACTCTTATTCAATTCTGCTGACATAAATTTATAAGTATTTGAATTGAAATCAAGTGTTTTTTGAAAAATTAAAAATTTAATCCTATGATTGATTAAACAACTCAAAAAGTCATTTCTTGTAAAAAAATTCTCAAAATATTTATAATTAATCTTAAAATTCAACTTTAGAAGTTTAAATTGTTAAAAATTTATTAGAGAGTAGAGAAAGAAAAATAGCATACTAGCGTGAATTACTTCAAAGTCGATGTGTTTCGTGATTTCATCATTCTAAGTTTGGAATCCTTTGACATGGCTATTAAGTTTGGATAACACCAAAGGAAGCAATGCCTGCCTCTGTCCAAAGAAAAGGTGACAGCTAAATCATATTCTATGAGTTGTATCCAATTTAATTTGCTCGGGGAAATCCTTTTCCAGCAAAATTTAGTCACACTCTCTTGCTATCAGTCTCATCCATCCCTTCTAATCCGTGATTATTTACCAGAGAAAAAGTGTGGTTTAGCTAAAAAAGCTGGTAGTTTGTGGGACAGTGGGAATGTCTCATCCCCTCTCTCTCTAGCTTCACCCTCTCCCTCTCCCTCTCCCACAGACAAACGAGCTCAATCCCCACGCCCCTCGCCCCCTTTTTCCACTTTTTCCAAAAACACAAAGCAAATATACATAGCCCCGAGGACCCTTGTAAACCTCCTCAGACTGTCATACAGTGGTATTCCTCCTCCATAGAACCTACTGTTATTACGGTATATATGTTTTTACACTATTGTTTGGATGCAATTGTTATCCCACTGAATACAGAGAGAGAGTCCTTTCTATGCATTTGCACCCATGTTACAGAGGGGTCGAGGAATCTACCCATTACTTATTACAGTGCATAGGTACAATGATTATCTGCTGTCTCTACACTAGTTCTGGCTCATTGTTTTATCTAAGCCACATTCGCGCAACTAATTGCTGGTTTTGATTTTGCTTTTTATTCTGGTAGTGTTGCACTTGCTGCCTTTAAATCATTTCCTACTTGCACCCATTTAATAATGTTTCATGATTCTCAAATCGTTGAAAGCCTAGATTTCATGTAAGGGCCCAATTCTCATACCAACTTGACGCTTTTAACGCGGAGTGATTTCAAATAACACCACTGCAAGTTGCTCTGGGAATTTTTGGCATGGAGTGATTCCAAATACCAATAATTACAATATAATTAAACTTAAAGATATTTATTTGTTCAAAAAAAAAAAAACTTAAAGATATTTAAAATTTTAACATGAGAACATTAACACGATGTTGGTTGGCTAGCAAGTGAATGAAGTGCACGTGAGCAGATATGGGTCTCGCCATCGCCATGATATCTTATTATAGAGTAATGTTACTAGGACATATTTTAAATAGATATAATGAATTGTCACCAATGATGTGATGGTGAAATATATTTAATGATGAGTCTCATTCACTGACAACCCAAATCGAGGCAACCCCCATCAAGCCAAGCCCTTCAAGTGACCTTTGAACATAAGGTTAATCGATAATAGCCGAAATGACTATAAAT